TATGTATATGCATATGTATATGTACGCACAAACACTTACTTTGTTCTACTCAAGGCATCCCATACGCACAAACACTTACATTGTTCTACCCAGGACAACCCACAACCTCTCGTTACGCAAATCCGCAAGTTCTGTTGCCCACCAGCCATCTTGCATCCTGTTCGAATGAACAGCCAGTCATTTACTCAAAACTCTCCGCGACAGGTCCGGCCTACGGAGGTCGTGCTGGCGACGGAGCTCGGGGATAGTCGGATCGGGCAATGTGTCCCTGGTGACATGGGCTGCTACACGCGTTGCGGCCCATGAGACACCGAGTCAGAGTGTTTGTGCTTGCGGAGGAGGGCAACACTCTCCTAAACACCACCCTCGACGCAGAGGGTCGCTCGTCAGATCTGGCTCGGTTGGATAGTCAGAATTCGGGAGCACTGGAGGGAGGCCATTTCGCTCTGCAAAAATTGGTTCAGGCTGAACAGTCCGACCAGTGCCAGTGGGTGACAAGATACAGCACACACGTCGACTCTTTCTCGCATCTCGTTTCCTGTTTAGATGTTGTGATGATTAAGCATACATCGCACGAAACTAATACAGGTTGTTAGGTTTGATCGCCCCTTTCCCTGAGACTGCGACAAAAGCATCTGGGCAGAGCTCCCGCCTTGACGCGACCACCTTCGGTGTGATAGACGCAATGGGTTTTTTGAAACTCAAGACAACTCATGGGAAAGAGTAGTGTTGGCTGACTGGCAGCTTCACCCCCGGTGAGCCCGGACTTCGATTTATTATGCAGGGGAGGGTTGAGGAAACTCGGATTGACCGGATTGAATGGATCTTGCAGCAATCACGCGGCACAAGCAAGTTCTCGACCCGTGACTGCAAGCCCTCAAGTCCTAGCCTGCTGCAGGTGACATGAAGCAATATGGCTTTGGAGCCTTGAATTCAACTTGGGATGCTTGACTGAATTCGCGTAGTATGAGCTGATGTGCCTGATGCGCCATCCGAAGCTTCAGAGATCTATGCGCTGCACACAAGATGGTGATTGACAAGCTGGCGCCTGTCTCGGATTGGCTGCTTCTCAGGTGCACGGTACCCAGTCTGCCCCTGCGACGGTTCTCGCGTTGGCGGAGCAGGCCTTCCACAACAGACACTCCCCGCCTCCCCACCCGCAAAACCCTAATTCCCAAACCTTTGGTTAACGCTTAAACCAGCATGGTATTCCGGACACCTTTGGGCAGATGGAAAAGAGGTGACAAAAAAACCTTTAACCCATGTGAGTAGTCGTAGGTCCAGCGATGCAGGAAAGTCACCTGCTCCGTAGGAGAGCCGCAACAACCTGACGCTCAATGCAACCCTGAACGCCAGCCTGGGCTCGGACTCGCAGAGCAGCTGGGACAGTGAGATTGACATGTATCTTTGCGATGGAGGTAAGATGCTGGGTCAGATTGGAATCACACTCCTGTGTCACCTGAACGATCTTGGTTGTTGGAAGTCATGTGAGGCAAGAGAAGCGCATCTTGCTGGTGGCCCCGTTGTCCAACAAACCAAGTGCACCACCTGAGGCGGCATCTGGTGGCATTGCGTTGGTGGCCAAGTTCATCGCCATGGCCGTTGCGAGGCTGCTGCGTTACAAGACTTCCGGTTCTTGATGCAGATGTGCCCTGTCAGTCCGTGCTGGTGGGTGCCACGGTGGCCCTGCACCAACATAATCACAACCGCTTTGTCAATATGCTACTCGGCCGAGTTGAGCCTCCGGGCTACCAGGTCGAAGTTGAGGCTGCAATGTCAGTGCTCACATCGTTTCATAGACAGGCCGTCCAAGGCCGTGCATGCAGATCAGCACTTTGTAGGTGTCTGCCGGGATTTGCGTGTTTTCCGGTGCGCACACATGTGTAAGTGTGTGAGCCTATCGGTATCTGTCCATCGCTTTTTCTGTCTTCTTCTCTTCTTGTCGTTTTGTATGTCGTTCTATCTGGCTGGCAGGTTGTACGTTTGCAGGTAAGTATGTATGTATGTATGCATGCATGCATGCATGTATGTACGCACGCATGCAAGCATGCATACATGTAGGTAGGAAGGTAGGCAGGTAGGTAGGTAGGTAGCTAGGCAGGGAGGTAGGCAGGGAGGTAGGTAGGTAGTTAGGTTTCTAGGTAGCTAGGTAGGTAGGTAGGTGGGTGGGTGGGTGGGTGGGTAGTTAGTTAGACAGGCAGGCAGTTTGGCAGGCAGGCAGGCGGTCCGGCAGGCAAGCAGGTAGTTTGGTGGTTGGGTGGTAGGTAGGCAGGCAGGTAGTTCGGCAGGCAGGGAGGTGTTCATGTCCGTGTGCATGTATGTATGTATGTATGCCTGCATGCATGTATGTCTCTACACATGAACATGTGTGTCTATGTATTGTATGCATCTACCTACTGGTGTAGTTGAATCCAGAATCCTTCTGTTTAATCTAATCTAACCTAGCCCTACTCTACTCTGCTCTGCTCTGCTCTGCTCGTTCTGCTCCTCTACTACTCTCATTTAATCTAACCTAGCATAATCTAATTTAATCTGCTTTAAATAGATCTAAGCAGAGGTTGTCACTCAATCAAGCGATGTATCCATCCATCCATCCATCCATCCATCCATACATACACACATACATACATACATACATACGTACGTACATACATACATACATACATACATACATAGAATACGCTTATGCATCGATGTACATGTGCTTCTATGTAGAAGTTAACGCAAGTGCGAATTTGTGTGCATGTGCGTACGACGCAATGGGCACGTACAGGCAGGCATTCATGCATGCATGCGTACATTCATACATATTGCATATGCATGTTCGCACCCATGCACATACGTAATGGCCTCGGACCCCTCCCCAAGATGTGCTAAAGCGAGCAAGACGTGTTATTCCTCGGTCCAAGACGGGACACAAGACCAGCAACAAGGCATCCAACCGAGCTTCTACACCCTGGCCAACTAAGCCCACAGCGGCACCTGTACTTCCGAAGACATAAGCCGTTTGTTGCTCGCGTGTTAGGTGGGGAAGTGACCTGGTTTGGACAGGACACAGAAATTGGGAGCCTCGGCTGCTGCCAAGTGGGAGTGTGTGTGTGTGTGTGTGCGTGGAGCCGTTTTCGTGCACTCTTGCGAGCTCTTGCGAGTTTTCATGCTTTTGCTGCCGGTCTCTTACACAAGACATACTGAGGACCACTTGCCAAGGGGTTGGACATCGACCTTTTTCAGAGTTCATCGGAAACACTATGAGTGCCAAACACACAGAAGAAGAATGCGACACCCTTGCCGGGTCCTCAGATGCAAAGGGTGTCTTCTGCAGAGACATCTGAGTACATCCCGAGCTCGCATGATCTCCCAGAACAGTTCTGGGCCTCAGCAAGTAGACACCATTTAAAATACTTAAAGCTTACTCGGTCCTAGCCTCGTTTAAACCGTCCGGCAAACCTGGGTCGGTTATGGTTTAATCAAGTTTGAACCTTTGGAACCCATTGAAGGTAGAATCAATCATGTTACGAGCACTAGCAATCGTAGAAAAGCAGGGCCAACATCAATAGCAAGAGCAGTACTGTTGTTCTTGTGAATCGTTGAGAGCCTTTTCTATTGGTTCAGCTGAAGCTCGGCCCCCCTGCCGCACTGAAAGGTCACGTGAAGGTCGGCTTCCACAACCCACGAGAGAACAGATGGATCCGACTGCGAAACAACCACGACCGCTCTGCTGCTTTGGGTCTCTGGTTCCAGCGTGCTGCTAAGTTAAGAACAAGCCGTTTCGTGTCTTAATATTGCAGACTCGGCCCTCTATAGTGCAGGACATGGATGGCGCGCCGTGGTTTGGCAGCTGGGAGAGCTTTAATGTCGTGGACGCTGGCGGCGGGAAGGTTCGCCATGCTTAGTGTACCGAAATGCTGCCACAGATTCATTCGTGTTGTATGTCTTGCAGTTTTTCCCTCCACCGTCCGCTTGGGCAAGACTGCGTGAGTGGATGTAATTGGTCTGTAAGCCCCTCGACTGTAGAGCAGTGCTGCTGGCCCAGCTCCGGCTGTCACGCTGTGCCGTTGCCGCTCCACACGAGCCTTTGGTCCTTTGAGAGAGCTGTCAGTATCCGAGTTGGCGGCTTCCTACTACTATACAGGTTTGACAGACCTTCGACGGGGTCTTCTTAAGTTTCCGTTCAGCCAGACTGTTGCTACTCCTGCTCCCGCCCCGAAAAGCGCTTCGACTCATCTTCGTCCTATTCAACATCTTTCCTGAAAAGCATACTCAAACTCTGTCGTCATTGAAGCTGACAGCATCTTGGAGGCAAACGTTATTGCAGATGCTCGACGTTGCTCTGACCTGCGAAGTGGCACAGTCGTGCGGAAGTGTCAGAATCAGAACGGAGACACCACCTCGCAGCCACGCCTGGACACCCCTGTCGTCTGAAAGCAGCAACGTAGCCGGGGAATCGGCAACAGAACCGAGAGAACCAAGCGTCTCTGGCTACAGAGTGCCAAATCCAGGAGTCCTAGGAAACTGTTTGTTTTGTTGGTGTTTGATTTTTGCGCATTGTTTACTGGTGTTTCTGAGTTTTTGTTGAATGGTGTGGTGGATTTTGCGTGCTTGTTGGAGTATTTTGCTTACAGACCTTTGGCAATCTCCATTTGTCCGCATTTGGTGGGTTCGCACGTGTCCAACCTCAAAAAGCACACTGTCACAGTGTCCTGTATGTACTTATATTTCCGATTTCCGTGCGTTCAGTGGAGTGCGCTGCTTAATTAGGACGTGATGTACTTATATATGTATATATATATGTATATATGTACACACGGGTATGTACAGTATGAACATCATATGCATATGTCTAGGCCTGTGCCTGTGTCTATGCTCATTCCGTGTCTATGTCTCCGTCTACTTGCTACATCTATGTCTATGTGTCTGTGTATGTGTACATGTTTATGTGTAGGGTTTATGTCTAGACGTCTCCGTATGTGTTTAATTATATGTTTATGTGTGTATGTGTGTGTGAGCATGCACACCTCCATGTGAACGACAGACTCCCTTGCACTGGGGTCAAGGCACGAAGTCCCGCAGGTGGCTCTTCACTGCGACGTCCACAACAGGTACATGCGGATGCCGAATCGGCATCATATGGATGCTAAGATGCATTGGAGTGCCCAACGTGATTCTGCAGCAGCTTGCAGAAACTCCCTACGCGAACCTTAAGGACACCAGCTCTCATCGCAACTCTTGGGACTGGGCTGCTTCAGTGCGGGCATTGTGGTGCTGAGATCTCCAAACCTGCGTGATCAGACCTTCTCGGAAGGATCTTCCGTGGAACTG